CAATTGTTTTCTGCTTACACATTTATTTATTTGTGTAAAGAGAGCAAAATTATATGTTGTCTTATTTCCCCTTCTTTCTTACAGAAAAGGTAGCATTCTATATATAGATAGGTCGGTAGATAAAGATTTAGACATATTTACATTTAACTTTATTCATTCAATAATATATTCTGGCAGTCACTTCATATCAGTCCATAGAGGTCTTCCTCACTCTTTTTTACAGCAGTATAATACTCCATGGTGTGTCCGTATTATGGTTTATTCACTTGATCTCTTACAGATGACCAAGTAGTCAGCTTCTCATATTTTGCAATTACAAATAATGCTACAATGTTTGTGCATGTGTGTTTCATGTGGTTGAGGTTCTAAAAATGGGCTTTTCAAGTTGAAGAGGATGTAGTTTTGTTAGTTGTTGCCAGATTCCCCTCCATGGGGTTGTGTCAGCTTGAGATCCTGTTTTCCCACAACCTTGCCAATAGACGCTATTGTCAAGTTTTTGAATTCTTGCCAATTTCATTGGTGAGAAATGGTATCTCAGTGTAATTTTGTTTTCATTTATTTTATTATGAGTGAAGCTGAACATTTTTTCATATGTTTAATGATCTTTGTAATGTCGCTTTTTGTAAATTGTCTGTTTATGTCTTTTGTCCATTTTCTATTGGGTTTTTGGTTCTTTGTCCCTCAATTTTTAAGACTCTTTTATATATTAGTGATATTAGCTCTTTGTCTATGATATATGTGACAAATGTTTTCTCCCAGCTTATCATTTGCTGTGACTTTACTTATGGGATTTGTCATATGAATTCGTTTGTATAGTCAAACTACCCAGTCTTTTCTTCTTACAGCCAGGTTATAGAAGAATTCACTCATGTGGAAACATAATTTTTATGGCTATACAATGCTAAACCATAATTTTAATATAGATTCTCAAAGATGAATTGGAATCCCAGGCTGATGGGATAAAGGACAGAGGAGGGCAGAGGGGCAGCCCATTTAGAAGTTGGAGCAAGCCCTGTTGATTTTAGGATGGGGAGAGGGGACAACTGGTCTCTGCCCTGTAGTGATAGACATTCACACGAGGCATCAAGACCAGTCCTTGTGACACAGTGCAGTGACAGGACCCACAGGGAGGGCTGTGGACTTTGGAGGAGGGAGAGGTCCTTTGGGTTGGGCATTGAGACTCTGGGGCAGGGCCAGGACTAGGATGAGGCAAGTGAGGCACTCAGTGTAAAATTTAAGGAGGTGCTCACTCTCAGGGGCATGCAAGTGTAGGCCTGGCACCTGACAGCAAGTGCATCCTTAAGTGTGCTGCCCTAGGGCCTCACCTGCTTCCCGCTGCTGCCTACTCTTCCTTGGGGTGAAGAAGGATTTGCCAGGCCTTGGAAAGATACAAGTTGAATGGATGGGAAGGCGGAGCATATCACAGACGCTGAGACTGTGAGTGGGAGAAGCAGTCCATCCATGAGGGGACTGGCCCAGTCAGGAGTGGTGTGGTACTAGAAAGGTGGGATGGGAGGAGTTTGGATTTTATCCTGAAGGTCCTGGGAAACCACTGCAGGACTTTAAGAAATGATGACCAACTGAGGGAAATGGGGATGATAACAGCCACTTCCCAGAGTTGATGTCCAGATTAAATGAGATCATCTGTGTAAACCTTTTCAGTTGGCGTGGGGCCTGGTGTGGAGTGGAAGCCTAATCGTCATGGGTTTCCTGGGCTTCGAGGGGATCTACTGATTTTCCCAATCAGGCTTTGGGTCTAACATCCTAAACAAAGCAGGACTGTTCAAATTACAATGTAGGAATAGAAAGCTAACAAAACTTAGAGTAGATGAACTGTCCACTCCTATCTGGAAGCATCTTGGGAGGAGGAAGAGGGCATGTTCAAGGACTAGAGGAAAGTCGGAGCTCGCAGTTTCTCCAAGGCCTCCATTCACAGAACAGAAACCGAGGCCTGGGAAGGCTCTGCAGTGGGTTCCTGGCTCACAGTGAGTTCATGGCTGTGCCGGAGGCTCCTCTCCTGCCCCACTCCCCTCCCACCACCTCCTAGACAGTGCCTGTGCTCCTCTGTCTCTGCAACAGGCCTTCCCCACAGTCTGTGTTGTCCCCGAAAGTAGAAAAAGCGAGAAGCAGACAGGGCCAGGCGGCCCTTCCCACCCCCACTGTGGCAGGCTGGCCTGGGATAGAGCAGCAAGTCCAAGGCCCTTTCAACCCAGGCCAGCTCCCTGAGGGAGGGGCTGCCCAAGGACCTGAGGGCTGTCATTGCCCTCGGCTCCCAGCCCAGTGAAGGACATTCCCTGTGCCCCCATGGGTCACGCCAGTCGAGTGTGTGAGGAAATAAGTGTGCATTCTTCAGAGCTCACTGGTCTGCCTCTTCTCTGGCTTTTGCTGATAGAGGCCAGGAGGTCACCTGAGTCTCCCAGACACACTCATGGAGGCAGGGCATGAAGACTCTGCTCCAGCTCCCAACCCCCACCCCCCTCACCCCCTTCAGGCCGGCAGCTCCTGCTGAGAAACCTAATGGGTCCTGGGCAAATTCCCAGCCACCAGCCCTTCCTGCACCCCTGCCTGCTCCACCAGGCTGTACAAGTGGCTGCCGGACAGGCCATCATGACATTTAAGGGCACTGGGAAGCCCCTGATGCAGACTCATCTTACCAACAGACGGTGCTGCTTAAAATCCATCCTCAACACATCCTCAGCCTCACCATCCACTGCTACCTCTTCCCACATACTTTTCTCAAACTCCAGAGGAAGACTGACCTTCTCCCTCTGCCTGCAGCCTACACAGTAGGTTTCAACTTTATGGACAGGTCTTGCCACATCTGTTTTTTGTCCCAGGTAGCTGTGAACGAAACTGTCTGCCTCTTTCAATATGAACTACCCAAGAGCTAGAGCTACTTCTTATTCTGCTTTGAAATCCCCATATATGTGGATTGAGTGACTGACGTGAAAATGGAAAGATCAGTCTTCAGAGACTGGAATGAGTAAGCTTAGAGTCTGGCGTGATACTTGCCAAGTGGCCTCAGGGAAGCCACTTAAATTGTCTGAGCCTCTATTTTCTCATCCATTCAATGGGATAATGGTATCTACCTTGCCAGGCTGTTGCCCCACATAAAGCAGTCAGAGTACCTGGCCCAGGACCTGGGACCCAGCAGGTACCTGTTGCTTCATTCACAGATGCCTACTATGTGCCTGCTCTGGGCCAGCCTCCAGGGCAGCCAGGGGGTCAGCAAGTTAAGACTGTAGCACAGTTCCAGAAGCCTCTGTTGAGAGCCCTCTGGGTTGTGCTGGCACTGGGGCTCCAGGGATGGGTACAGCAGCTCTTCCCTCCAGGCACTAATGGTCATTCCCATTACGGGCACAGTGGATTTTCCAGGCTCCTTCCAGCCATGTAGTTGCTGAGATCAGCTCCTAGAATTTGGTGATGGATGATTCCTGGGATATTCTTCCCAGAGTGAAGGGCCTGGCCTAGGTAAGGGAAGTGAGGGCTGGAAGTGGAGATGAATTCAAAAGAAACAGAGGGCTGAGCTCCTGACCTCAAAGAGTACCTGGTATGGCATGCCTATTGCTCTCTAGGAGGGGCTGAGATGGCCAAAGCCAGCCTGGGTTCCTCCTGTCGGGAAAAGAGGTGTCAGCCAGCTCTCGGGAAAATCAAGAGCTGGGCTTTGTCCTCTTGTTTAACTTGGGGCCAGGCCTGGGAGCACTGGACAGAGCTCTAGGGCTCAGGCAGGGCCAGAGAAAGACTTAAGTGAGACCTGGTGCCTTCTTCTACTGCCAAGGGAGTTTCTGGGTCCGGGCCTAGCAGACTGGGACCTGCCAACCTCAGGTTCCAGATTCTAATGCCCCATTTTCAGGTAAGCAGCTGGTAAGAGACAGTTGAGTATAGGCTATAGGCAGAACCCAGGGCACAGCTCCTTATGGGATCAGAAAGTGAGGGGTCCCTGCCCTATGGGGCAGAGGGAGGGCTAGTCCTGGGGAAGGCACCACACTCCCATGAAAGGCCTGGACAACAACCAGAGAGGCCTCTGCAGTCATACATGGGTGCGGGGGAAGGGTCTCTGTCATCTGTCAGTGCATAGGGGATGGGTGCAGAGGAGTGGGGTGGGCCTAGTGAGGTAAGTGAACTGAGGAAGAGGCAAGTGAGGTAAGTGAAGCTGGGAGAGGCACCTGTGGGACCCCAGGGTTTGAATGACTTCAGAGGTGGGGCGGGGGGTGGCTCTCCCAAGAGTACCTGCTTACTCTGTTAAGAATTCAGTGGCTCTTTTTCTTCTCCCAGCCACCTCTAAAGGTCTGAGGACCAGTGGGAGGGCTGGTCCCATCTAATCCAATATCCCAGCCATGCCTTCCTGAACATGTTTGAAAATGCTCATCCCTGAGGCTGCCCCCTGGGTGGGGAGTTTCTCTGTGCTCATGATGCCTCTCTGCCTCCTCTCAAATCCACCATTTCTCCAGATGGGTGGATCTCAGAACCCCCAGCTCTTATCTCAGCCTGCGTATCCTTCTGTGGAGAGGCAGCCAGGCCCCCCAGGAGCTGTGATGGATGAGTCCCTGTTCAGACCTAGATGCCCCACTGCAGAATAGGGAAGCTGGATACTAGTTAGCCAGTGGGGTGTGGGTAGAGGGCTTCTTTGGCACAGGCCTGGCAAGCAGGTGTCCATTATTATCCAGCACATTAAGAATGTTGAGGCAGGGTCTTTGGTCCACTTGCTGGTGATACAGTGGAAAGCAGTTAAGCAGCTGGGAACCCTGTCACCCTATTGGACAGGCATGAGAGCACCCTTGAGGCATATTTTGATGGGGGAAGGTGGCCTTTTCAGGGAGTGCAGTTCAAGTGTGGCTTTCAATGGATAGATAATGAAATGACATTTTAATTGTGTTTCTGGCAAGTCAGGAGAGGTGAGGGGTGGGAGAGTAGATGGAGTCAGAGAAACACAGAGACCTTCGCTCCACTCTTGTCATAACAGAGAGAACAGACTTTATCATCAAAAATGGGACATGTTTGTACTCGCTTCGGAAGCACATATACTAGAATAGGAATGACACAGGGAAGATTAGCATGGTCCCTTCGCAAGGATGACACACAAATTCGTGAAGCAGTCCATATTATTTTCTTCTTTGAGACAGAGTCTTGCTCTGTAGCCCAGGCTGGAGTGCAGTGGCATGATTTCTGCTCACTGCAACATCCACCTCCTGGATTCAAGTGATTCTCCTGCCTCAGCCTCCCAAGTAGCTGGGACTACAGGTGTGTGCCACCATGCCCAGCTAATTTTTGTATTTTTAATAGAGATAGGGTTTCACCATGTTGGCCAGGATGGTCTCGATCTGTTGACCTCGTGATCTGCCCACGTTGGCCTCCCAAAGTGCTGGGATTACAGGTGTGAGCCACTGCGCCCAGCCTAGCAGTCTATATTTTAAAGAAAAAACAACAACAAAGGGACACTTCTGATAGTGGAAGTGGGTGTTATTATAATCATAAGGGAAAACAGGTGTAAAATGGGACCTTCCCTGGTAAACATGAGACTTCATGAGCCAGGATGCTTGGCTATGTTTTCTTCTCTCCATTTGCCCATGATAAAGAAGAAAGTGGACTGCACAGTGCTTGCCAGGTGTTCATGGGCCATATAGCCTGTAACAGGACACTGTGCCTTTCTGACCCTCGGCTCTGTCATCCATAGTTTCCTTCATTCATTCTGTAGATATTATTTTGTACCTTCCATGTGCAACACAGTGTGCCAGGTACTGTGAATTCAAAGTGAAGATGGCAGGGCCCCAGTGCTGTCAGCTCCCTGGGGTCCCTGACCTCTCCAGGGACACAGCTCTAGCCCATGATGTCATGTGATCTAGTCTGGTGAGGTGAAACCATTAAGTAACAGCAGAGTAAGGCTGTCTCTGGATTATGTCCAATTGAGTGGTAAGAACAATGGCAAGGCAAGGGAACTGAGAGGTGAGGAGTACTGTGCTCATTTTATGGAAGAGGAACCCAGAATGCAAAAAGATAGGATAAAGCACACAGCAGCGTGCAGTAGGTGGAGATGGAATGCCAACCCAAGGTTGCCTGAAAATAAAGTCAGTACACTTTCTTACATCTCATCTTTCTCTTGAGTAGCCCTTGCCTGCTCCCCATACCCCCTGCAGCCATCTGGACAGCAGACCCTGTGGTTCACATAGACCTGCTTTGGGACAGGGCAAGTGCCCTGGACCAGTTGCAACATTCACCAAGGGCTTCTGGGCATATCTTACCTCAGCCACTTCCCTTCCATTTGCTCAGATTTCACAGCTGAGAAGTTGATCCAATAAATCTTTTGCTTCTAATCTTCCAGAGGGGTGAGGGTCAAGGAGAAAGGTGTGATAAGTGTTCTGAGCTGCTCTGAGGAAGGGGACAGGTAAAGAAGACATGTTTATGCCTGATGCAAGAGACACAACACCAATATTATCCTTTGTGCAACTTCCACTAAAATATAAAATAGAAAATTGTCCCAAAAATGGAAGACGATTTGCTGAGTTTTACAGGACAGGTGATAAGCCCTCAAGTCTTCTAGCTCTTTAATCTAGTGTCCCTCATCTACAAGATCTGCCTTCCCATTTCTTCATCCTCTAAGAATTGGTGTTTCTATTTTATTAATAAAATTCATTGGTGAGATTGAGCAATTTAAATCATTTATATTTCATGTACTTCCTTATTGATGTACATTATACATTTAATACATTGTATTATAAATTTAAACCTATGTCTATAACATATAATGCAGTGTTTTCTCCCAGTCTGTTTTTAACGTGGACTGTGGTATTTTTGTAATCAAATTAATCACTTTCCCCCTTATACTTGTGGTTTTTGTGTCATGTTTAGAAAAACCTGCACATCAACCACATATTTGTCAACAAAAATTTGTGTTTCCAGATCTGAAAACTTTGGTGCAGGGATCCCAGGAGGTTGTCTTGCAGCAAGTAAGCCTTTTCCAAGGACCTCTTTGCGGGGAGCCTCTGACTAAAAGGCCCAGGACAGCTTAATCAGCCTGGGCCTCACCATGAACCCTCACACAGACCTGGGCTCTTGCCAAGCTCTGCCCTTTGCTCCCCATGAGTTGGAGCCTGATAATAAGCTCAGTGAAGTGAATATTGACTGTGGCACCCTCAGAATGTGTTGTCCTGGTCACCAAGGCCAAATCAAAGCCTGTGGACTTGTTTTTCTTTTTGGTAGTCCTTTTCCCTCCCTTGTCTCTTCCCCACACTCTGAAAGGGATCTGAAATCCTACTCAAAGTGTTTTATGTGGGCAGCACCTTTAACCGACTGTTGCTGCTCTTATGCAAAACTTCTCACAGATCCGAATACAGAAAGCGATCTTTTCAAACACACTGTTCAGTGTCATTTTATAAGCTCTGCACTCATTGCCCTAGCATCTTCTCAAAGAAACCTGGAAACCCTGTGGCTGCTGTGTTCCACAAGAAACAAGAGACAAACTCGGGTAATCAGAAAAGGACTATTAATCCTGTTTGGGCTCATCCTCACTAATTCATTGTTTCTGGCAAGGGGGAGAAAGATTGCTTTGAAAAGCTTCTTAAAAGGACCTTGGCGCACACGCGCGCGCGCGCACACACACACACACACACACACACACACACACGACCTAGCAATGCAGTGGCCTGCATTTAACATTTCCAAATAGGTTACTCAAGTGTTAGGTCTGTGTTGAGTCTGGTTGCCTTTGATGTCCCCCAGAACTTAGTGCCACAGGCTTTCAGGGTACATTTTCTTTGTTGGGGTACAGGGCTGAGTAACAGTTAACTCCAAAGAGAAAAGGCAAGAGATGGAGGCCCAAGCACAGGAGTAGCTGGAAGGAGGAAAGTGCTGGGCCAAGGCTCAGAATAGCTGAGTTCTAGAGCCAAAGGGTGAAAAGGGCAGAGGAAATGGGTAGGCTGGGGCCTGTGGGAGGGGCAGGTTGGACTGAGAGGGGAAGTGAGGGCGGCTGTGGCCTGGAGAGATCACTTGTCTGTGGAAAGCTTTCAAAGTGGAGATTCAGGAGTGGGCGGGAGGCCTGGAAGGGTACAGGGAGGGTTTGGACATTGCCTCCGGCCAAGGAAGGACCAGACACAGGACTACCTCCAGATGGCCATTGTGCAGAGAACCAGCACAGACAGCTCAGGTATAAGGGTGGCACAAGGTTCTGAGGACCAGAGAGGGGCAGGGCTGCGCAGGCTCTGCTGTGTGCTTTCAGCTGAGATTGAGGTCAGAGGAAGAGGAAGAGGCCTTTTCCTGGGGCTTGGGGCTGCGATGGGGGAAACAGCCTCAAGAGCTTCCCTCCCATCCAGTAAGGACATAACAACTGATCCACCTTCTAGCTCAGGAGGTGCCCGATAGGTACCAGAGCCTTGTTCCAGTGTGGACAACAGCTTCCAGGCCCACTTCAGCAAAACCGTCACCAAATGTGCCCAATATGGTCCATCCATGGCTCGCCCCTGGCTGCCTGTGGCAGTGTAGTGCCCAGGCCCTGGACGCTTTGGGGTTCACTCCCTGACCCACCTCCCTGCTGGAAACTTCTTTTGCTTTCTCCCTAAATTGCTTCTTCATTGGTCCTGTTGGTAATGCTCAAGACTAGGCCAGGTGCTTCTACCTGCATGTGACCAGGACCCTGAGCTTCCGCAGGACTGGCCCTCCCTGCAATGACATCACTCATGTCAGGACTCCTACCCCCATGGCATCCCCAGGAGGGAGGTGGGGAGAAACCAAGGGTCTGAGAAGCAGAGGAGTCCAGCTTCCTGGTGAAGAGAATTGGCTCTGCAGACACAAAGGGCAGCAAGAAATTGTGTGCTGCCTCTTCTATGAAGCATCTATGATACACAGGTTTCTCCTACGCAGGGTTCTTATTTCTTCAAAAATAAACAAATAAATAAATAGAAGCATCAAATTCTCAGAGATGAAAAGTAGATTAGCAGTTACCAAGATTCAGAGGAGGGGAATGTTGGAAAGTTATTGCTTAACAGTTAAGGTTTTGTTTGGGTTAATGAAAAAGTTTTGGAAATAGTGGTGATAGTTGTATAATACTGTGAATGTACTTAATGCCACTGAATTTTGCCTTAAAATGGTTAAAATAGCAACATTTATGTTATACATATATAAGTATAAACATTTACCACAATTAAAAAAAATTATTCTCCTATAAAGAAGCAATCACAGAGTTCAGTCAAAAAAATCTGGGAAAAATGTATTATGCAGTGTGCAGTGTGCCAGACAGGCATGCCATACTAATTTTTTTATTTTTTTTGAGATGCAGTCTGGCTCTGTTGCCCAGGCTGGAGTGCAGTGGCGTGATCTGGGCTCACTGCAACTTCTTCCTCTCAGGTTCAAGCGATTCTCCAGCCTCAACCTCCTCAGTAGCTGGGATTACAGGTGTGTGCCACCAAGCCCGGCTAATTTTTATATTTTTAGTAGAAACAGGATTTCACCATATTGGCCAGGCTGGTCTCGAACTCCTGGCCTCAAGTGATATGCCCACCTTGGCCTCCCAAAGTGCTGGGATTACAGGCGTGAGCCATCGAGCCCGGCCAGCATGCTATACTATTAATAAGAATAGTTGGTCATTTTAAAAAGAGGAAAGAAAGATCCAACTTTGAATCCAGGCCCTACTTGCTTGGCCTCCAGGCCTCTTACCACCCTTTACCTGAGTTTCCTCATCCGGAAAATGAGGCTTATGTGGCAGGGAATATGTGTGCTTGTGACAGAGCTGTGCAAACCCTGCAAAGAGGGGCTGTCATGGTTACAATGTTCAAGTTCCCCATTCCTATTAAGCAGCTCAAGTTCTCAGAGCCAGGGAGGAGATTCTTGTTGGCTAGAGTCCAGGGCTCTATTTTGAAGTTAACCTTGAGGGCATGGCATTTGGTAGTGGGAGAGGTGTGGAAGGGGCAGAGAAGGGGGGGGTGGGCAGTGAGGGGCAGGGGCTTTCAAAAGCTCATAGCACAACAGGAACAGAGTGACAAGCTTTGTCTTTGAAGGTGTCCCAGCAGTTTAAGACAAGGACAAGACCAGGTGCTGATGAGGCCAAAGTTTGAGGGTCTGATCCCTAACAAGGCCAGGTCTGCTCACTCTGCCTAAGTTTGCTCTGTTAATATAGAGGAGGACCTGGGCCATAGAGTATGGGCAGCTCTGCAGGGCAATTCTTGTTCATCACCGGACACTCATCGTCTCTGAAGGACGGGCCATGTCAGAGTGTTTTCTTAAATCTGGATGCACGAGGAACTGGAATAATCAGTAACATTTCTCACAGGCAGAGCTTCTCTGAGCTGTGGGCCACAGGAGGCCAGGAGCTCTCCTCTAAATTGCTTTGTGACCTTGGACAAGAACCCTCCCCTTCCTGGACTGCAAACTTCCTCCTCCGTAAAATGAAGGGTTGGTGAGTGTCCCTTCCACCTGTAATGCTGGGATTTTGCACCCATACTTGTTGGTGGGAATGTGTTCAAGCAGAACGTGATCCACCTCTTGATCGGCAACAGAATGTATAGAATTTTTTTGTTTTAAGATTTCCTAAGAAGTAATCTTCACTTGCTCCCTTTGCCAGCTGGGCAACCTGGGCAAGCTACTTGACCTTTCTATGTCTCTCTATTTTCATTTGTAAAATAAGAACAACAGCAATCCCAGCTTGGTTGGATATGGGGGGTTGGGGCCCGTGGTGAGGACTAAATGGGTTAATACGTCTAAAGTCACCTGAACAGTATCTAGCACACAGTAGGTGCTTAATAAATGTCTGGAGCTCCTTCCAAGTGCCCAGCACTTAAAAATTCTTCACACTCTAGATTATACTGAGTTTTCCGAGAGATCCAGAGAAGGCAAGGAAGCCCATTCTCTGTATTCAAGGGGCTTACTAGCCTTTACTTAGAGATGCAAAAAGGTGCTTATGAAACAACAGCCAACAAGAAAGTAGCATCTTCCACATGCTGGAGGGGTCCTGGTGGGTTAAAGAAGGAGGATCAGGAGGAGGAGGAGGAGGAGGAGGAGGGCACTTGATCCAAACCATGGGTAGGCAGGGAGAGAGAAGGGAATTCTAACAGATGAATACATATGGGTACGTATATGTGTGTGTGTGAGTGTGAGGGGTGTTGTGACTGTGTATGGGTGAGTGTGGGCATGTGTATGTGCATGTTTGCCAAAAGAGCATGAACAAAGGCTTACCCTGGATGAGAAGTCTGAGTCTTCAACTCCCCTACACAGCACCACACTGTGTGATTGTGTTGCAGTCACATGTTCCTCTCCTGCTCAGTGCTGGGACCAGGAACGTGCCTGCCTGTGAGTCCAGGAGCAAGCCCTTGTGCATAACCCAGGGTGTGATTAATTTAATTATTTCAAAAGCCCCTTTGGTATTTCACGAGGGTCATGCCCCTGGCTGTGGGCTTGAATACAACTGCCGCAGGTTTCAATAAAATCAATTAATTTAATTTGATTTGGTTTTATGTACTTGGAGCTGGTGCCTCTTGAACTCAGTGTGAAAATTATTGTAGAATAAAAATGCATATTAGTGCCCAGAGCCCAGTGTCCTTGGACTGTCTTCATGGAGCCTGCAGTGCTGATCACAAAGGCAAATCCCCTCTAACCAGGCAGGAGCAGCTGCCAACTGCCCACCTAGTTAACCCCTCAAGCTTCAGACAGTGTTTATGGGCTGCTTGGAGCATTCTTCTCACTTCCCAAAGAACTTGCTTATCTGGTAGTGAAGCTAAGGGATTTCCATTTTGCTTTCATGAAATGGACTCAAAGAGACTTTAGTTGGCCTTGGTCACCAGCTTACTGCTTTTTTGTCACTGTTAATGAAATTAATTGACGCAAGATGGTGCAGTGGATTGAAAGGCAGCTCTGCCTCTTAAGAGACACATGAAGTTGGACAAGTCCTTTCACTTCTCTGGGCCTTGTTTCTTTGTAAGTAAGAGGGCTGGACATCTGCTGGATGGGCTGATTCCAGCTCTCAGAGTCACACACATTCAGTGGGGCAGCTGGTCTTCCTGGGCTGCTTGGGGGAGCCTGTCCCACTGTTAAGCCTCACTCCATTTCCATTTCATTCAAGAGGGCACCCAGCATGTTAGTGGAATGGGTGATGGGATTGATGATGGGCCCTGCACCCTCCACGTGTGGCTTCTCCCCAACATTCCTATGGATCAGAGCAAGCATTGCTTTGAAGAAGGGAGGCGCTCAGGGGCCTAGAAAGCATCTGGCCAGGCCATTATTTTACACATGAGGGAACCCAGCTTCAGAGTCACACAGCCACAGTCCAGGACTGTGCTCATGCCCCACCACACTCACAGTCATTATAAAGGGAGGAGATTTTGCTCAGGGCTCATTTCCCAACTGTCCTTTTCATTCCTTTCTCCTATCAGGATGGGAGGGAGATGGCCAAGCCATCTTTGGGGCCTCTCCAATGAAGCAGATGGTGACATCAGTCATTCCAGCACCCCTATGTCCCTTCTCAGGCCCAGTGGCTGCTGCTTCATCAAGGACCCACGGGCCCCATTAGGAAACATCCCCCCCAGTGCCTGAGATCCCACTCTTAGCATTTTCAGTCTCCTAGACCGTCAGCCCTTCCCACTGACTTCATGCTCAGCACTGAACGTTCATCCTCCTCAGTGGCATTTTTCTCCCATAGGTCTTACCTCCCCAGAGCTCTTCTGTAGCAGAAACTGAGCCTGTCCTCTCCGTCTTGTGTCTCTTATTTACTGAGAGGCACTATTGTGTGCTGAGAACTGCCCTGGATACTGTACATTCTCATTCAATCCAGCATTGGCCCTGGAAGATGGGCATGATGGTCCCTACTGTGGGGGAGCTTCAGCTGGGAGAGGAGAAAGACCTTTTACAAGGTCACACCCAGCTAAGAAGTGAAAGGGCCAGGATTCAACCCCACATCTAACTCCAAGACTCTTGCATCACACCAAGTGACCTCTCTTGCGCATAGGAGGTGCTTAACAGTCCTTCATGACCAAGCAGCCTAGACAGCCCTCTGCCAAACTCCAGAGGTTGGGAAAGAGGCAATAATTATAACTACTATCTATGAAGTCCCTATTATGTGCCAGGCACCAAAATGAAACACTCAATGAGGCAAATACTATTATTATCTCAATTTTACAGATGCAACAACTGAGGCCTAGAGAAGTCATTTGCCCAAGGTCATCCAGCAGGGAGTGAGCTGGGCTTCAGTGCGGCCCTGCCTCTGAGGTGGAACCCCTGCCTCCCTCTTTCTGCTGGATTCCTCTTTTAGCTCCCCGTGGCTTTGTTTCCCGTAGAAGGTAGAAGGCTGCCAGGGAAGGAGGCTGGGGCCTGGGGTGGTGTTTGCGTCTCCGGGACGCCTGCAGCAGGCACTGCCCTCCACCCAGCTGATAGCTGCAGCCTGGCCTGGCACGAAGCCCTGCCTGGGGGTGGGTGGACGGCCGGCGGCGGCGGGGGGCCGCCTCTGCGTTCACCCCTCTCAACACCGCCTCGCCCCCTGTGGGGCCAGGGCGGTCCCGCCCGCTGGAGGAGGCGCCAGCCTCTCTGGCGGTAACCGGGTAACAGTGGGTAGAAGCGGCGCAGCGCCGGGCCACGGCCTCCCCGGGAGGCGAGTGAGTGGGGATGTCAGGCTGGAGCGGTGTGAGAATGCGGAGGAGAGGCCCGGGAAACAGGCTGCGGCCGCCAGGAGGGGCGCGCGGAGGGAGGGGTGCAGGCTGGGGTGCCCGGGAGGAGGGCGGGAGCGCCCGGGAGGAGGGCGAGGGCTCCGCGGGAGGAGAGAGAGGCCACTGGGGCACTGAGGGGAGGGAGCGGGCGGGGCGCCAGGGGTGGGCGGGGCTAGAGGCAGGGCACCCGGGAAGGGGGCTGCGGGCAGGCAGGGAGTGTGGGGCGCTTGTGGCCCGGCAGAGCGGCTGTGGTTGTTTTATGTCCCGGATTCTGCTTTCTCAGAGATCAGGAGAGCGAGGCTGGCAGGATGGGAAAGGTGGGCGAACCAGTCTGAACAGGCTGGGTAACTGGAGAAACATGGGCTTAGCGAACTGGGGTACTGCCCAGCACCCTCTACCCTCACCACGCTCGGGAATTTTTCGTGAATCCACCCCGTTGGTTTTACAGTTTCCTCTCATCCCGGCCCCACCCTGTCTCCTGACCTACCCTCCCTTCCTCTGCTGGCTGAGCTGGCTCTTCCAAGGCATCAGTTAGCCAAAGGGAGGCACCGGCTCTTGCCCTGGTCTCTCCCACTCCCAGCCTCATGGAGAACTCAAATCTTGCACGTGCTCTCTCTTTGTCTTTCCTTGCCCCCTTCCCCCAAACCCTCTGGGACTTGGTAAAGGAGTTCTTGAGTCAGCCCAGGAGACCCTCATCCCCCTAGCTCCCTTTAGGGTCCCTTCTGGGTCCCACCCTCCTCCAGCCTCTGGGACCCAGGGCCCACAGGTTGCCAGGCCCCTGCTGGCAGGCAGGGAAGACCCAGACAACCTTAAAAGGGTGGGAACCACACCCTTCTCATGGCTGTGTGCATTTAGCTTGAAGGTGTCTGCAATCAAAGCCCCCGCCCCAACCTCCCGTGGGGGCGGTTGGGGGGAACCGTTTTGTTTCAAATGGTAGAATTCCAGATGCAGGACCCCAGATTATGGGGAGTGGGTGGGGAGAAATATTTGGGGCAGGGGAGGCCTTTCAAGGATCCCTCATATCACATCAAGAAGGCCACCTGGCCCCCCTCAGACTGCCACTGCCCTTCCAGGTGACTCTCCCTGCAGCCAGTTCAGCTTCTCACTCATCCTGAGGCTGTGAGTTCTTCCATTTTCGGGTAGCAAACAGGAGCCAAAGGGGAGATTGTTAGGTTGTTAAGCTTATGCTTTCTACAAGCTTGGAGCTCTTTGACCAAGATTGCTACTATTCATACATCAGGGATGTTATTTAATAGATTAAATAACTGGGATCTTTAACAACTGGACCATAGGCATCCTCAGCCCAGCCCTGGGTTTGCTAGATGAGGCCCTTGAGACCCAGAGATGACGACCTGCCCAAGGTCACACTACTTGTTAATGGCAGAGCCACAACTCTGACCAGCCTCCTAGCTCCTCATCCCAGTGTGCCTGCTATTACCCTGGGCTTTAAGTTTAAAGTAGCTCCGTGTTAGGGACCTAGCATAACACCTGTGTGGCACAGAGTAGTTGCTCAATTAATACTGAGGAAATGAATGAACATGCCTTCAACAAGAGGTCTGGATTAATACATCTTTTGGAAGAAGTGAGGCTTCCATGGTGCTTGGGATTCTAGCTCCTTCCCACTGAGTGTGCTAGCGAAATGTTTCTCCAGGGTAGTTGCCAACAGTGAGCCCCATTGGAGCCTGGCATCATCTTTGGTCACTTCAAGCCCAGTCATTGTATGGGAGGAGATTGTGGGTCTGGAAGTGGGTCCAAGCATGAGCCA